GCCTTCATTTATTTAAAAAGTGGATTTTTATTCAAAAAAAGCTTCCGGATGATATTGAACAGGATTGAAAAAAAGAAAAAGAAAACAGGAAAAAAAAAGAAATAAAAAGAAAAAGAAATATTATACGTAAGTATAATACATTAAAAAATATTTAGGTATGGGTATGTATGAAAGAAGAGAAACGATGAATCACGTACATTCATGTAAGATTGTGTCTGCCTAAACACGAAAATGTTCGTAGGAGGAAAGGAAGCGAGTTTAAAGGGTGGGAGTAGAAAAGAGAAAGATAGAGAGAAAGAAAGAAAGAAAGAAAGAGAGGAAGAAAGAGAGAAAGAAAGAAAGAAAGAAAGAAAGAAAGAAAGAAAGAAAGAGGTAGGCAGGCAGAGGAGGGTAAGAGGAGTGTAATGCCCGAGCAAAGCAGCTCGTTCTCTGCGTTCCTCTTCGCGGTGCTTGTCGCGCGCTCCTCTGTGCATTATGTACGGCTGAACTCGGTGGTCTCAGGTTCCTGAGAACCAAACCCACGAGGTCTCATAATTCCGGAGATCCCGTACTGCATGCCACACCTTTCGCACGGCTTTGAAGTCTCATCCACGACATCCAGTTAGATGGACTATGTGCGACCAGCTGCTTCTTCTCTCTTTTCTCCAAGTTTAGTCCAGAAGAAGAAGAAAAAAAAAAAAAAGAAAAAAAACGGGAGGAGAAAAAAGAAAACTAAAATTCAATCTTATCTCGATCGGTAAAGGAAAAGTTTCATCGAACGAATTAATTTTCATTAAGGAAATGAAACCTGTTTTTCTCTTTCCTTTCTTTTTTTTGTTTTGAAATAGTACAAACGATTGACGATTGTTATTAAATAATATTAACGAATTAATACGTTGTATATGTAATACTTGAGATAATAGTATCGATGGGCTCTAATGCTATAACACGGCCACACCTTTCGCACGGTTTCAAAGTCCTCGACCTCGTGCTCCGATCGAAAGTATCTCTCGAGATCTCATCGGAACTGTCTCCGTTTCGAGCGACTTTAAGAGCGATCGCCTAGTCGAGAAATAGCTAGACGCGCCCCAAGAGATCGTTTATCGTGTGTATATATATATATATATATATCTAGAGAAAGAGAGAGAAAGAGAGAGAGAGAGAGAGAAACACGATTCTCTTACCAAAAGGTTCGATTCGTTTTCTTAGACAGTATTTTAGATTGACGTGATTCTAACAAATCTTTCGGTCTTATAAATTTATTCGTAACATGTGTAGAACGTAATAGTAATTACATAGAAGAGAGAACATTTTACATCGTAAAACTCGTTAAAAAGGAGATCTTTATATCTGTGAAGACATCATTAATCAATAGTTAGATGGATATATTATGTCTATGTCCGTGTGTATACGTGTATACGTGTATATGTTGAAAGAAAGAAAGCCATTCTTAAAATAATGTCAGTCTACGCACATCTTTTACTACTTATTCTTTCTTTGACTCTCTCTCTCTCTCACACACATACACATACACATACATACATACATACATACATACATACATACACGTACATTTTCTTTCTTTCTCTCTTTTTATCCTTTATTTTGGAAGGGTGCCGAGAACCTCTAATTTTCAAAGTGATCATTCGGAATCGGGGATCTTCCATTCATTAAGGATTCACCAGGAGGCACGGATTAAGGACCCTCCTGGACGAGAACACCTGGTATCTTCGTACAGGAGGCAAGTCCGCAGGAACATCGGAGAAAAAAGAAAGAAAAAGAGATAGAAAGAGAGAAGCGAAATAATGGAAGGTATGGAAGAACGGAAGAGCCAAAGAGGGAAGAAGAAGAAGAAGAAGGAGAAGGAAGGGACTCTCAAGCAAAAGCGGGCGTTGCCTTATTCTTTACAGACATACATATCGTAAACGTAGATAAGTAGGTATATCTACCTACTAATGCAAGTAATGCTAATGCAAACCGCTCGAGTGCTCTCTTGAGTTCTTTCTCTTTTTCTTTCTCAGAGTATCTTGATAACGTTAAAGGATTTTAATCGAGATATCGCAGATTAGAATATCACGGAGTTTTATTATTTGCACGTATAATAACAGTTTGGTACGAATATTTAATCGAGAACCATTTCAAAGATCATTGCCATAACTTATCTAATTAACGTGTTTCTTTAATGATATTATCTTATTGATTTATTGAATGATTTGAGATTTTTATTGTGAATCATAAAGAAGAAGAAGAAGAAGAAGAAGAAGAAAAGGAAGAAAGAGAAAAAGGAAAAATAAAGAAGAAAGAAAATATATAAGAAATAAGTTGAGAGGATATTTTTCTTGCCAAAAAGTTTTCTCGTTTTTACACGAGTCGTTAAATCGTCGAAGAAGACGAAGAAGAAAAAGAAGTAAAAGATGAAGTAGAAGAAGAAGAAGAAGATGAAGAAGAAGAAGAAGAAGAAGAAGAAAAAAATCGCTAGAGACGATTCGATTAATCGCAAAGCGAGTAGCTCGAGGTAGTTACGCGCGAGTACAAGCAATCCTGTTTACTGCGGGCGCTCAAAGGGAACTGGGACCGCACAAGACGCGGCATGATCGACGACGAATAGGATTGGGTCGTGGATCCTTGACAATGATGTTGAATCGCGCGGTCGTTGCGGTCTTGCTACGCGCTTCCCGTCGTTGCTTATAACAAGAACTGCCTCGCACTCGTATGGCCAGTCTTTTAAGATAGAATGAGACAGTATAAAAGAGGGAGAAAAAGAGAAAGAGAGAAAGGGAGAGAAAGAGAGATCTTATGTAGCAGACACTATGATTTGAATATCTTTTAAGAATAAAAATCAACGATAGATCATTTTTATTCTAATTATGCATGTAATCATATACGTTTTGGTTAGATTCATATCAAATATTATTATTATTATTATTATTATTATTATTATTATTATTATTATTATTATTATTATTATTATTATTATATTTTAAAATATTATATTTTAGTATTATAACAATGTGAAATATTATATATATATATTTTATATATAATAGTATTACTACTACTAATAAATAAAATACTGTATTAGGATATTAAAAAGTATTCTCAACTACTTGCACTTTAACTATATTAAATTTTAATTATTCTTTTGGATTATTAATAACATCCGCTTTCATATATTATAAAGTGCATCACATATATACATTGTATACGTTTGTGATGGAAGCATTAAAATGATTAGGGACATAGCTTGTCTTTAATACGCTATGCGTGCATAAAGAATGTTGATTAGCTCTATTTAATTAATACCATGGCTACGTTTCTTTTTTTTTTTTTTCTCGTCGGTATCAAATCGTTGACATCGTGGCACGTAATTGTCTTCATTTCGCACGAATGAGTGAATAATTTTGGATTTTTATTTCGCAAATTTAAAAAAAAAGAAAAAAGAAAAAAAGTAGAAGGAAAAAAATTTGTGTATCATTTACCTCGATTCCAGCCATGATACATATGAATCATATCGATCAATTTTAAACTGTACAAAGAAAAAGTAAGAAATTCTGATATCGATCTCTGCTCGTGTTATATTTATACCGCAGAACCGGCGATTACGATTCGCCGTGCAAATTCTTTCTCGCGAAAGGGCGAGCCTGGAAAAAAAAAATCGCCTTCCTATTATCACGTTCCACCCATAGGCTCGTGAGAAATGTTTCGTTCGAATCTTGTCTTAAATCGGCTTGTAAAAGCATTCGTGAGATTATCGAATGAAAATACTTTCCCTTTGTCGTTCTTTTTCATTCGAGGTAAATACATAATATAGGATACATGAAAGAAATGATTAAAATCAACGAAACGATACGTATATATGTATGGCACAGATAAAGAATGTTTCGACAAAACGATACTTATGCGTAATCTGAAAAGAAGAAATGTTATATAGGAGAACGATGAGCACGTGACAAAAATATTTGTGTGTTTCCATGTATATGAATGTAAATGGAGACAAAAGAATGCGATTGAACGAATGATTTTTATTTAATAATAAAAGATCTACAAAGCTAATTTTACATATATATATATATATATATTTTTTTTTTCGAACAACCATAATCAATCAAACATAAATCATTCGCAATATCTAATCGACATTACAAAATTCATCTTTATCATTTTTGTCCGATCATGTAACAATTTTATATCGCTTAAATTGCAACGTTATAAAAATCAATAAATTCAAACGTATAAAATATGATAAGTAAAAAAATGAATGAATTGTATATAAAAAAGAAAAAAAATATATATATATATATCTATGGTATTTATATTGCATATGAAAAAAATTATAAAGATGAAAAAGATATTTGTATCACGTTACATCGAGGTGCATTCGTTGGTGGCCCACCTGTCAGTATAACACCTGCCTTCGTAAGGTATTTAATGGCTACGTTAATGATCTTTTACGAAGTGTTAGATGTGCGACATGTGGGTGGTAGAGTACAAGAGAAAAGAATATCTTTACTCTATCTCTCTTAAAATTTCTTCGAACATGAGAGATATTTTAAGTACCTACCTTTACTGAATACGAACACATTATATAAACCCGTTCTTTCAACGATAAAAAAAAAAAAAATCTCTGATGCGATAATTAATTTGAAGTCTTTGATGATCTTCACAAAGAAGGTTATGAGAATTCGGCCAATAACTTCCTTACCTTCGTCCTTGCTCTTATAGTTCATTAAAAATATTAAATTGAACGAAGACACGCATTCAAATTTAAAGGGGGGAAGAGGGGAGAAATTTTTTACCGTGAAATTCGCTTCCTCTTTAATTAATTCACGTGAACTAATTAAACGAACGTTGTAATATTTATATGATAATATTCTTTTTTTTTCCCCCTTATTTTTTTTTCTTCTTTCTCTCTCTCTCTCTCTCTCTCTCTCTCTCTCTTTCTCTTTAACAAGAAATACATATTTTATTTGTTAATGTAAAAATAATAATTAATATTTGATATTTTTATAATTAATTCCCAG